CGTCAATCCGCTCGACTCCAAACCCAAGCCTTACTGAGGTGAAAATATGGGACTGAGCGGGAGTATTCTACTTACAATTCTTAGGCGCACATAAAGGACTATATTTTGAGTTCTAATTAGGATAGTAATGCACGTCACAGTAATTATCTTGAACTTTGGATACCGGGACCGGCCACTACGAAGGGCGCGCCCATTCGTATTGGTTTGTGCTGCGACCACTGACCACTTGTTCGGTTCGTTTTCTTTGCTGGCATCGAAATGGAGTCACACGCTAGCGATGAAAAAGAACTGCCACCTTATCAACTCTCTCCATCTGCTGTTGTTGTCACGAGAGGACCTACCTGGTTTCGTACTAGTGCAATTGCGTGCTCCGATTGGTTTTCCGACAGTGATGATGGCTTCTGCGATGTCGCATTTATGAGTTATGAGTTCATCACCATCTTCTCTCTTCAATTAGCAGCACAGCATGAGGAACGTGGTTACTTTTTAAAATTTCAGCAACAGTTTAAAGCTCATGAAGAAAATATTTCCGCGATCACATCCTGCTCTCCAAGGGGAACGAAGCATGTTTGTAGACATTTTATTTCTTGTGGATCGGACGGTTTCATAAAAGTTTGGAAAAACTCTGGAGGCCTGTGGGTATTAGACGAAAAAGTCCTGCTTAAACAAGGAATTATCCCGAATGCATTGGCGGCCGTAACTCTCGATGATACCTTACACATCCTTTCTGGAAGTACTTCTGGCCACATTATTGTGTTGAGTATCTCCGGGCGCAAAAGTACAAATTTACCCCTAATTAAAAAGTTTGAAAAGGACTCCGTCTCTTCATGTTGTTGGGGAAACTCGGACGATGATGCGAATTGTCTGCTTGCCCTTGTTGGCTTCAAGAGTGGTATAGTTTGTGGGTATACTTACAAACAGCCTTCTCTCTCCAGTGAAAGCTCATTAACCCCAATTCTTCGAGTCAGCGCTCATGATTACGACCTGTGTAGCATGTCACTTATCTGCTTAGATAACGGTGAATCATCCCTTATCACTTGTGGTCGTGACTCAACTGTGAAGGTACTTCCTTTTGCCTTTTGGCAACTTTACACCATGCGTATTTTCCGCTTGACAATTTGACGCCTGGCACTGTTACAGTTACAGTTTTTTTTCTAACATGCGTACTTAATGGTTAAGATTAACAAGTTTCAGTCTCAACTTGAATTCTGGGTCTTTTTAGAGTCTACGTGTTTGTGAACGTTGCATAAAGAAAGAATCAATGCGTAGGTCTTGCATGAAGTCCTCTTGCGTTCGTCATCTTAGTTCCAAGAATCTAAGCAAAAGCCCTGCTTTACTCACATTTTCACATTATGTTATGCGTGGGTTTTCATTCACAAGCTTTGCTATCAACGATGAACCAACGGGGCAGTAATCCCATACTTTTCATTACTCTATTATTTTCATCCAATGTATTTTGTAGCACTATTCTACCGTTGAGTTTGGAAATTTTATTTTGTGTTGTACAGGTTTGGTCCTTTGATGGGTCGAAGTGCATCTACTCTACCCGTTTTCAAAACCGAAGATTACATTCAAATGAACCCGAATCATCTGCTGGGAAGGCATGGATTTCGGCTACTGGTATAACAGAGGATACTATTAGACAGTCATCTCAGACAGAAAATAGTGACAAGCACCCATTTGCTCTCCTTTGCGATTCAAAGGGAGAAATTTTCACATGGAATGGGGAGAGTAAACCCCAGGCTTGCGAACCAATGATGCCCCGACACTCGGGTCTTGTGTTCAGCCTAATCGCCGTACCAAAGTCCTCTGGCCTCTTTGTGACGATTGGAATGGACGGGCAGCTAATTGTTTGGAAAGTTACCCACGGAGATTGGCAAAACCTCAAGCCAGTGACAAGTCACGTCTACTTCACTTCAA